CTATTACTTAGAAATAATGAACTTCACTGAGTATGTGAATTCGTTATTTAGAAATAATGAAAGTATGAATGGCTGACCCAGCGTCTCTTGCCTGATCGATTTCAGAGGCTGTTTCTCGCGTTATAAGACAGTTAATGCTGCCCTTGCTCAGGTAGGTATGTAGCCTGAAATTCAGCAGTGGCGGATCTAGGGGAGGTTCCCCCCCTTATTTTGGTTAATTGTGTTTAAGTGAGAATCACGCTTCAAATATCTATTACATAGTTCTTATTCACTCAACAATTTGGCAGCTCACACTGCAACAGGAACAACGACAACGACAACAACTACTCAAAGGCCGAGGTAACAGGTAAATTTTAAGCCAAGAAATTGCTGCATGAAGAAAATGCAGAACTTTTAAAATCGGGAAATCGAATGATGTATTTACATGCTTAGATAATTCTTTGTAGCCTGCGAACAGGCTCACGTTGGAGCACAAACGCGCTCGGCGTAGCTGAGAGCGAGNAATAATGAATTTCATCTCGCCGAGTGTAAATTTATTATTTAGAAATAATGAACTTCACTGAGTATGTAAATTCATTATTTAGAAGTAATGAAGTTTCGTTTCGCCGAGTATAATGGCTGACCCAGCGTCTCTTGCCCGATCGATTTCGGAGGCTGTTTTCTCGCGCTCTAAGTGAGACAGTTAATGCTGCCCTTGCTCAGATAGGTATGTAGCCTGAAATTGAGCAGTGGCGGATCTAGGGGAGGCCCCTCTCCNCCCCCCCCCATCCCTTACTTTGGTTAATTGCGTTTAAGCGAGAATCACGCCTCAAATATCTATTATGTAGTTCTTATTCACTCAACAATTCGGCAGCTCACACTGCTACAGGAACAACGACAGCGACAACAACTACTCAAAGGCCGAGGTAACAGGTAAATTTTAAGAAAAGAAATTGCTGCATGAAGAAAATGCAGAACTTTTAAAATCGGGAAATCGAATAGTGTATTTACATGCTTAGATAATTCTTTGTAGCCTGCGAGCAGGCTCACGTTGGAGCACAAACGCGCTCGGCGTAGTCGACTTGCGAAGCCGCGAGTTGAGAAAGTCACTTTCTTGGCGCCTCTTTCCCGCCGATCGCTATTCCTCTTCGTCACTCACGCGTTTGACTCAAACGTGAGCCTGCTCGCAGGTTAAATTCTTTGTGACCTTTGTGACGTTTGGACGGATAGCGTTGCGTGACACACTTTGTTTGGCTTGATCAAGTCACGGCTAGGCATGTCTATTCCAGGCAAGTCCAAAGATCGTACACGTGGAAAGCTAAATTCATTTACGTTTATAAAACTATTGTTGAATTTCAATAGAAATCAGACCTTTCACTTAACACGCCAAGCGATTTTTATTTTCTTCATGCAGCAGTTTCTTTTCTTAAATTTTACCTGTTATCTCGGCCTTTGAGTAGTTGTTCCTGTTGCAGTGTGAGCTGCTATATTGTTGAGTACATAATAGATATTTGAGGCGTGGGGGG